GTTTTCTTGTCAAAATAAAATCATATTTGTATTGTAGGAGATGTAAGAGTGTTGTGGTATAATTTTTATGATTTTTGGTGAAGGGTATGTTGTTTTGAAAAATCAAAACTGGACTGATTTCTTGTCATTTTGGCCACTTTCGAGTCCTTTTTTGTTAAAACTAAGCCCAAAAATAGAACCTACGTGAAAAATCGAGTGAGGGGGTGTATTTTGAGGATTTTTGGTGACCAGAGAGGTCACCGGCGGTGGCGGCGCCACTGGCGACCACCATGGCCGCCAGCTGAAGCTTCAGCTTCAGCTCGCCTGGGAAGAAGAAGAGACGGAACGAACGGGGAGAAGAAAAGAAAGAAAAGAAGAAAGAAAAAAGAAAAAAAAAAAAAGAAAGAAAATGGTTTGGGCTAATGTTTTTTCTTCGGTTGGGCCAGGAGTTAGTTTTGGTTGGGTTTCGGAAATGGGCTCTGGTTTATTTTTTCCTTTGGGTTTCGGATGGGCTAGGAGGCTGGAGCCCATGTATTTCTAGGTCGGGTTTGAGTGATAAAATGACGGGCTGGCCTGCTCGTTTCTATGGATTTGCGGTTGGGCTTAGGTAGTATCCGACCCAAATAAATAAAAACAACGGCCCGATGGCCTTTCTTCTCCCAAATCAGAAACCGAATTTTGCACTTTGGCCCCTGATCTTTGGAGTATTTTCACTACGGCCCAGAATATTTTAGATTCCTTTCATCTAGGTCGTTAAATTAATTGCACTTTAGTCCCTAAATTTTATCTTTTATTTAATTTTGACATCTGAACTTTGAAAAATATAATTTTTATCCCCGAAAGTTTTTCAATTTTTGCAATTCGGTCCCTGATGAATTTTGACTCTCTTTATTATGATTGTTTCTTTTCTTTAATAGCTAATTATGCTACTTTTAAATATGCTTAATTTGGAATTTTTAGATTTACTTAAATTTCTTTACGTCTGATATATTAGTGTGAATTTAGTAGTTGTATTATTATTTTCTTTTTCAATTAAATTGGTGCCATGATCCTTTTGTTCATTGTGAGTATAAATAGGATAATTTGACTCCATTTAGTCACCACTTCAAACGGGAGGTACCCCTATTTTATTATTTCAATGTCAATTATGTGCTCTTATGTGCTCCTATTTGTTCCTATGTGTTTATATATTTTTATATGCTTTATTTATTTGATTTAAATATTCATTCAAATTTTCTTATATATGTTTTAGTTAATTTTTATAATGATTCGAAAGGCAGTTAAATACCTCAAAATGTAATAGATAGGATAATTAGATTTGTTTTATTATATTTTTTCCCTTCTAGATTGTAGTTAGGCGCTCCCGATGTAATAGATAGGTTGCGTGTTTATGTGGCTTATGTGTTATGTGTTTTATTCGCTTTCTTAGGATTTTGGCATCTAGATATTATGTTTACGTGTTATGTGCTACGTGCTCTTATGTGTTTATTTGTTTTAATTTATGTTTTATTTGTTTCACTATGAATTGTTAATGCATGACGTCACCACACTAGTCCAAACGCTAGTTGTGGTTTCTCCCTCCGCTTACTTGCTAGTCCAACGCTAGTAAGGATTTTTAGAAATGGGTTAGTCCAACGCTAGACCCTTTAGGTCATCTTACGCTAGATTCATCTTTGTATGCTATTCATTACATTTTCATGCATATTTTCATTTTTAGGATCTTTTCTCATTTGCATGATATTCCCTATTATATTATCCCTACCCGCTATAGGTGCTAATCATGTCATTTAGAATTGCATCTCATTTAAGCTAGTTCATTTGCTTGTTCATGTTAGGGTAATTATTTTTCAAACATGAGAAATGGGTGATTATAACTTTCCAGTTTAAATACCCTATTAATCCATGTATAAGAAAATTATGTCACGAGTTTTTTCGCCTCCCGTACCCTTTATGTTGCATTCCTTTTTCTTTGATCACTTATATATATGTATATAATTTAATTTAATTTAATTTATTTTCTTTTCTTTTCTTTTTTTTATCATTTGCATCCTCATGACACCTTCAAGGATTCATTTTGGCCTTCGCAATAAACGTGATTGGTTCAATTAAACCCTTGAATGAACATTTTGTCCTTTCGATATTTTATTTTTGCATTCATGTAGAAAACATTCAAATATGATAAAATTAAGGGTTAGATTAGGAAAATTTTGGGCTAAACCTCGCAACTAGCTTAGACTAGGTTGAAAGGGTGCCTTAGGTTTGAGTTAATCGAACCTTTGCCTTCCCTTTCTTCAACCGTGACTCCCGAATCCATTTTCTCTTGTTTTTCAAAGACCTGGAGTTGTCGAAAAGGGTTTTATTTTATTTTATTTAAATACACTTTTTGGGTGACTTGGTACACCAAAACTCAATACCAAGTGGCGACTCCTCTTTTTTTTTTAAAAAAACCATTTTTGACTAAATTTTGGACCCAAATCGTCGCATTTTTCAAAGTCCCATTCTAGTCCTTTTTCATTTATTATTAATAAATCACATTCTTTTATAAACCTTTTTTATTTTTCATCACGAAAAATGGGGCGCGACAACAATATTTAAAAATATTTTTATATAAAAAATGTCTTTATTTAATGAAAACCAGCTACATTACCATGTACTTTCTCTTTGATCTCACTAATACCAATTGCTAGCTAGCTTTTATGGGTGCTACTGCATGAGTTAATGATATCGTTAAAATGTTAGCCGAGTTTTTCAAAATGATTTAGTGTATGTTGAGTTTAAACAAACAACTCAAAAAAAAAAGATGAAAACACAATTGTAATATCTTAAAGAAATTTTTGTTTAATTATTTGGCTACTCACTATAATGGATTTTGATGTTTCAAACTAAAATATTGACTAAAGTTAATTGATTTCAATTAAAGATGATGGCTGGACTTTTTAAAAAACAAAAAGTGGTCATTGGACTTTTTATAAAGAAAATCACAAAATAACTAGAACTTTAACAAACTTTCTATGTTTGATACTGATAAACTAATCAAATTTAAGATATTTATATTAAAAAATGCATTGAATAGTGGTCCATATTTTGAATCTTATTCCAAACGGAAATTAATTAAACATTTAAACAAATTTTATTTGGTTGTGTATGAAAAAGAATTCAATTATCTATCTTGTTCAAGAAAATTCAGCTTTTCATTTTTTTGGTTAAAATGTTAATGACATTCAAAAAATTTAAAATTCAATTCTATACAAAATTTGGAAAAGATTAAATATAAGATAAATTTAGAAAAAAACTGAAATAGGACAAATACTGAAATTCTATGTTACATAGACTCGAGTATAAGTACTAGATATAGGTACATTTTTAGGTGTCAGATTCGGATACATATCTCTGAAATCCCTTCCAAAATACAAAATAGGGCAAATATATATTTGAATTATGCAGTGTATAATTTACTATCAAGATTAAAATACATATGAAGCGGTGTATCATTAACTAATGCATAACTGTTACCAAAATCGCAATGTGTAACTTTATAATCAATATCCCAAGCAATGTATAACTCTATGATCATTGATCACAAAGAATCATTAAGCTCGTAAATTCTTAAACAATACGTAATTCTATCATCAACATCATATAGAATCATTAAGCAATTTGTAATTCCATTAAAATGATTAACTCAATCATTAAGAAAAGTGCATAATTAATTATATTATTCAAGATCATAATTGATTATACAACTCTTCATGCACATTTATAAGTTTTTTCATGCACATACATATTATGAGTATACAATAATATATTATAGTGAATTATAGAAACGTGTATAATGAATTATATTATGCAGTCTCTTATAATAATCATAATAATTCATGTATTATTAGTAAACTTACATGCACATGATACCAATATAAGAGAATACAATAATATACTAACATAGTAGGCGGAACGGATCTTCTGTCTCACACCCTGTGTCACATCCTGTCCCACTCCTTAGAATCTCGCCAAGTATCCCTTAATAAACCAAACCCTCAAACAACCCAACTCGGACCATATTAAATTAATTAATCGATTAACCGGACAGAAAACTTAAACCCATTCAATCTCTATAATCAAACCGATTAAAATAAAAACTCTTTAACCAAAATCATAATTTATCAAGAAAAAAACCCTAAAACTGAAACAACCTCTGTCCTCTCTTCATCATCTTCACCATTCTTTATAACCAAACCGATTAAAATCAAATTGAAGAAAAAAGATACAATGGCAAAGCAGGAGCAGCAGCAATGGAATGCTTGTAGTAATGGTAGTGGGGAGCGATTGATAATAGCAGTTGTATTAGCAGAAACAGCTGCAATGGCAATAGCAATAGCAATGGGGGTTTGCAATTGCAGTCTTTTTTCAAATCCATATTTTCCAAGACTAACGACGAAAAACAGCTTCAGAGAACCGAGGAGTAAGAGCTTCTTTGTCACAGGACGTAGGATAGCGTGTGATGATATGATATCCATTTAATATGACTTTATAATTTGCACAGTCCCAAATTCCCAATAAGCACCGGTTCCCAAACTCATTAAAATTTCCTGGCAAGAATTCGGTGAGACGTTGTGTACAGCTTTATTGAAGAAAAGGCAAAGGATGTAGTTAAAGATGTAATTAAGCTTCAACGGGTTTTGAAGTGGAGATTGCCCATGAGAAATATGGGGAACGTAAAACCTTGGCGATGCTCAAAAACAAAGTGGATCATTTCTACTTTCATTAGTGGCTTGAAGAAAGAAATCAAGCCAATGGTTAAGATGCTCAGACAAGAAACATAATAGTTGTTCAAACTCCAGGAATATTCAATTAAGCCGCAAACGAAACAATTAAAAACAGAAAAAAAAATGTAGCTTAATGCGAACTCTTTATTTCTGAGTTTTCTGAGTACAGTGAACGATTTTCAATTTTCCAATACACACTTTTTGTAGCCTCTACAACTTATGGATACAGAGAGGTATAAGCATAATCACATGGAGTAGCTAGATTGAGTGGTTCAGATGATGCGAAAACAAAGAGGCATAAGCCCCATTAGCTATCTTTTTGAGCTCATCATGTCTACCTTTCTCAACAATCACGCCATTTCTCAGAAATGCAATGGTGTCACTCCCTCTAATTGCTGTCAATCTGTGAGTCACAACAATTGCTGTTTTGCTTACCATCACTTGGTTTAGTGCAGCTTGAACTGCTTTTTCTGACTCTGCATCTAGAGAACTTGTTGCCTCATCTAGTAATAGGATTTTTGGGTCCTTCACTATTGCCCGTGCAATGGCAATCCGTTGCTTTTGTCCACCGGATAATTGAGCTCCACATTCCCCTACATGAGTATTATAGCCCTGAGGTAATGCTGATATGAAGTTGTGTGCATTTGCTAATTTTGCAGCTGCAACAATTTCATCTTCTGTTGTATCTTCTTGCTTGCTATATGTTATGTTGCGACGAATGGTATCTTTGAAGAGTATGGGCTCTTGGCTCACCAAAGCTATCTGTTGTCGCAGCCATTTCAGGTTGTAGTTTCGGATATCAATGGCATCCAATGATATACATCCTGATTTAACATCATACAATCTTTCTACTAGACTTATTAATGTTGACTTGCCATTCCCACTTTCTCCAACAAAAACAACAGTCTGCAAACTCAAATTCCATTGCATCATATGTAAATTGGATAATAAGTGCCAAATAAATGAATATAGATTGAATGGTAACTTGAACCATTTTCAATGTAAAAGGGCGCTAAAATAATAGCAAAACAGTGTTGCAGCATCATCCCATGTTTCATATCCTTGGTTGAAACTTCCTCAGTATTGATTTGACTTATGTGGTTAAATTCCAATTAGTGCTGAGATTAACTGAATTAAACATAGTCCAATCCTGTTAATCCTTTTCAATAAGAGCGGGTTTAACAGAAATTTGTAGTGTACAACTCTGATACAATCCAAGTCCAGTTGGAGCCTAAAACCAACAAGAGTTAATAGAGTCCAGTGGATTGAAGCAGGTCTGACAACTATACACGTCTGTTGATTTTTCCAACAGCCGTAATGTTTGACTGTGGCATAATTCTTTCGTCCAACATCGCAGCTGACAACAGGCTTCGTTGGAGAGCCTATAAATAGAAGGGGTTTATGAAGGAATCAAGTGCACCACTCAAGAGAGCATTATATGGGCTATTAGTTTCTTAGGTCATCTAGTTTATTTAGTCAAATATTTTAGCTTCTCTTGTTTTGAGTTTAGGAATATTTCCTAAACCTTTTGTAAGTGCTATTTTGACTTAGGAACCACTTTCCTACAGCTTTTGTATTTCTTTTTCATAGTAGAAATATTGTTCCTCCCTCGCCCGTAGACGTAGGTCAATTTGATCGAACAAACGTAAATTTCTATGTCATTTATTTTGCTTTGTTTTTGTCTTTATTGGGTTACCACAACCCTTTTATAGGGTCAGTTTTACCGCCTAATTATTATATGGCTGGTGTCTATCGCCTAATCATTATATAGTCAGTTATACCGCCTATTTTGTTCTAACTTTAGTTTGTTTATTCGTGGGCCAATCCTAACAAACTGGTATCAGAGCTGGTTGATATATTTTCAAGACAGGTTCATCTCGTGGGGCCCATTCATCTCGTGGGGCCCGTCCATCCTGTGGGACCCACTCATCCTGTGAGGTCCGTTTATCCTTCGACGCGTTCACCTCGTGGAGTCCATTCATCCCGTGGGACCCGCTCACCCTGTGGGACCACTCACGAGACTTGCATATTTGTTTGACTAGTTTTTTCGAGACAAGTTTCAGGTTACAGATTTTGTGACAACAATGACGATAACAAAGACGGTTGTCGAAAAATTCAACAGGAATACCAACTTCGGGATGTGGCAGCTCAAGATGGAGGCCATTCTTGTTCAAGATGGAGTTGTTTTGGCAATACAAGGAGTTGAGAACAAGCCAGAAGATGTAAAGGATGCGGATTTCACCGATATGGATAAGAAGCCAGATCCAGCATAATCTTAAATCTCTCTGATGAGGTATTGCATGAGATAGCAATGGAGACTTCGACCAAAACTATGTGGGATAAATTAAAAACCTTGCATATGAAAAAGACAGTCGAGAATCGAGTATATCTGAAGCAGAGTTTGTATATGCTTCGGATGTCTGAAGGTACATCTATACTCTCCTAGCTTGATAAATTTGATTTAATTATTATGGATTTCAAAAATATAGATTCAAAAATTGATGATAAAGACAAGCCCTATTACTTTTGTGTTTCCTTCTCCAATCCTTTAAGTATTTCCGTAATACTATGATTTATGGAAAGGAAACAATTTCGTATCGGGAATTAAATCTGCATTAAAATCTAAAGAGCAGATAGATAGGGATATTACTGGAAAAACTAGTGGGAGTCAAACCGATGGCTTGTTTGTTCGGGGTAGATTTGAAAAGAGAAACACAGAAAATAAAAATAGATTCAAATCCAACATAAAAATGAGTGTGCAACTATTGTAAAAAGAAGGGTCATGTTATCTCTGATTGCTTTAAATTGAAAAATAAAGAAAAGCAAAAAGGAAAATTTGTTGAGAAAAATACTGAATCCGCTGAAGCTAGTATAGCAGTGATGAGAATGATGGAACCATTTTTTGTGCAACGAAAAATAATTTTAGGTCTAACAGTGCGTGGATTTTAGATTCGGGTTGTTCGTATCATATGTGTCCCACTAGGGACTGGTTTTCAACATATGAATTAACTGAAGGTGGAGTTGTTTTAATGGGCAACAACGCTACTTGTAAAGTTGTTGGCAAAAGCACAATTTGGATTAAAATGTACGATGGTATTGTGAGGACGCTCACATGTTAGACATGTTCCAAATTTGAAGAAAAATCTCATCTCTTTAGGCACTCTTGAGTCTATTGGGTGCAGGTATTCAAGTGAAATGGAGTTCTCAAAATCACTCGAGGTGCTCTTGTTGTTATGAAGGCACACAGATCTGGTATTTTATATATTTTACAAGGATATACTGTTGCAGGTACTGCTGCTGTTTCTACATCAACTTTGTCCGATTCCGATTTCACCAAATTATGGCACATGAGATTGGGCACATGAGCGAGAAAGGCTTATCTATTTATGCAAACGAGGTCTTCTTAGTAGTCAAAGTATTGGAAAGATGAGATTCTGTGAACATTGCATTTTTGGAAAGCAGAAAAGAGTTAGCTTCCAGTTGCTAGCAGTTCACAGAACAAAAGGAACTTTGGACTACATTCATTCAGACCTCTGGGGGCCTTCTCGTGCTCCTTCTAAAGGTGGTGCCAGGTACATGTTGACTTTCATTGATGATTATTCAAAGAAAGTTTGGGTATATTTTCTTAAACATAAAAATGATATTTTCCTAACTTTCAAACAATGGAAAGTTTTGATTGAGAAACAAACGGAAAAACATATTAAGTGGTTGAGAACAATAATGGTATGAAATTTTGTGAAGGTGAATTTAATGAATTTTGTAAGAATGAAGGCATTGTTCGGCATCGCACTGTCAGAATGATGACTCAACAAAACAGTGTAGACGAACGTATAAATAGAACGCTTTTGAAGAGAGCAAGATATATGATCTCCAATGCAGGGTTGACAAACGACTTTTGGGCAAAGGCAATCAATATGGCATGTTATATTGTCAACCGTTCTCCTTCTGCATTTCTTGATTTCAAAACTCCTGAGGAAGTTTGGTCAGGTACTCCTGCTGATTATTCCAATTTAAAAGTTTTTGGGTGTTCAGCATACATGCATGTGAATGATGAAAAATTGGAGTCTAGAGTTAAAAAGTGCATTTTTCTTGAGTATACTTATAGGGTGAAAGGATACAGATCATGGTGTTCTGATTTCAAATTTTCAAAATTTATAATCAATAGAAATGTTACTTTTGATGAATTGTCTATATTATCTTCCAAGAAGGAGTTTTCTAGTCCTTGTACTACTGATAGTACACAGAAGCAGGTGGAGCTTGATATTGGCAGTTTCGATCCTTCTCAGTCCAAATCTTCTATTCAGCAAGAGCCAGTAGATGCACCTAATCTACTGTTGAAGATAGTTCAGAAGAAAAGGAATATTCCATAGCCAGAAATAGAACAAGGAGAGACATTCGACCACCACAAAGATATGTAAATTTAGTTGCATATGCTTTGTCTGTTGCACAAGAAACTGATGTAGTTGTGAGCCTTCCACCTATTTAGAAGCAATTTCTTGTGATGATTTGCAAAGTGGTTGATTGCGATGAATGAAGAAATTGAATCTCTTCATCAAAATGAAACTTGGGTTCTTGTAAAGCCGCCGTCAAATAAGAAAATAGTTGGTTGCAAATGGGTTTTCAAGAAAAAGGAAGGTATTCTCAGGGGTTGAAGATGCAAGGTATAAGCATGATTAGTTGTAAAGGGCTATAGTCAGGTACAAGGTGTTGATTTTAATGAAGTTTTTTCACCTGTTGTTAAACATAGCTCTATTCGTGTTTTGCTTGTTTTAGTTGCCATGTATGATTTGGAGTTAGAACAGCTTGATGTTAAGACAGCTTTCTTGCATGGCGAACTTGAAGAACAAATTTATATGAAACAACCCTAGGGTTTTGAAATTGAAGGTAAGAAAGACCATGTTTGCTTATTGAAGAAATCCTTATATGGATTGAAACAGTTTCAAGACAGTGGTATAAGAGTTTTGATTCCTTTATGTTGGGTCATGGTTATTTAAAAAGCATGTATGATAGTTGTGTTTACTTCCGGAAGTTAAATGATGATTCTTTCATTACTTATTGTTATATATTGATGACATGCTCATTGCTGCAAGAATTTGTCAGAAATTCACACTTTGAAACTGCAGTTAAATAGTGAATTTGAAATAAAAGATTTGGGAGCAACTAAGAAAATTCTTGGCATGGATATTAATCGAGATCGAGGAGTAGGGAAGTTGTTTTTGACCCAAAAATTACCTTGAGAAAGTCTTGGCGTTTTGGCATGAAAATGCTAAACCAGTATCTACTCCTCTTGCTAGCCATTTTCGGCTATCGGCTGCTTAATCACCACAATCAGATGAAGAAGATTATATGGCACGGGTTCTTTATTCCAGTGCAGTCCGCAGTGTTATGTATGCAATAATTTGTATTCGTCCAATATCTCACATGCAGTCAGTGTTGTTAGCAGATATATGTCTTGTCCTGATAAAGCACATTGGCAAGCTGTAAAGTGGATTCTTAGATACTTGCAAGGTATTTCAAATGCATGTTTGGAGTTTGGAAGAAATAATAACACTTTGACTGATTTTGTAGATTCAGACTACGCTGGGGATCTTGATAGAAGAAATCACTTTCAGACTATGTATTTTGCATTGGCGGTTGTGCTATTAGTTGAAAGTTACTCTACAACCTGTCGTAGCTTTGTCTACTACAGAAGCAGAATATATGGCTTGTGACCGAAGCAATTAAAGAAGCCTTGTGTGAAGAGTTTATTTAGCGAGTTTAGTCTACATCAAGGTGTTACTATTATTCACTGTGATAATCAAAGTACTATACACTTGACTAAAGATCAGATGTATCATGAGAGGACGAAACACATTGATGTGAAGTATCACTTCATTCGGAATATCATTGCTGAAGAAAAGGTCCTTATTCAGAAAATCAATACCAAGGACAATCCAACTGACATGTTTATGAAACCTCTTCCAGTTTACAAGTTTAAGCAGTGCTTGGGCTTGGTTGGTGTTCGTTGTATGTGATTTGGCCCGTTGGGTTTATGTGAAGAAGGTAGAGCAATTTTACTATTGTCGATGGTAGGACTAGAAATTATGCCAAGGTAGATTTATTGATTTTTCCAACGGTCGTAATGTTTGACCGTGGCATAATACTTTCGTCCACATTGTAGCAGATAGCAGGAAGGCTTCGTTGGAGAGCCTATAAATAGAAGAAGGAATCAAGTGCACCACTCAAGAGAGTATTATATGGGCTATTAGTTTCTTGAGTCATCTAAGCCATTTAGTCAAATATTTTAGACTCTCTTGTTTTGAGTTTAAGAATATTTCTTAAACCTTTTATAAGTGCCATTTTGGCCTATGAACCACTTTCCTACGGTTTTTGTATTTTTTCTTCATAGTAGAAATATGTTCTACCTCGCCCGTGGACGTAGATCAATTTGATCGAACCACGTAAATTTCTGTATCTTTTATTTTGCTTTGTTATTTGTCTTTATTGGGTTGTCACAACCCTTTTATATGGTTGATTTTACGGCCTAATTATTATATGGCTGGTATCTACCGCCTAATCATTATATGGTCGGTTATACCGCCTATTTTGTTCTAACTTTAGTTTATTTATTCCTGGGTCAGTCCTAACAATATCAGATGATCTACTGCGCATGAATTCAAAGGTACTAGCAGGAATTAAGAAAGAGATTCAGTGAAACAAACTTCGTACCTTTCCAGGAGAAATGTTCAAGGACACATCTTTCAGAATTTGTACATTTGGCCGACATGGATAACTGAAGCTAACATTTTGGAATTCAAGGTCACCTCTTAGATTTTTCGGTGTCATGCCCGTTGTGCTCCTAGAACCATTTGTCTCTTTGCTGTCAAAAATGTTATACAATGAACTAGCCAAAGCAGAGACTTTATTTGCATCTAATGTCGTACCATTGGCTTGTGCTATTCCTGCTGCTGAGGCTATGAAAGCCAAGTAAACCTGCAATCACAGGCCAGAGCTCCGAATTTTACACTTAAACTTCAATGAGAAAAAGAAAGTATAATTGCGCTATCCACCTTGAAAAGTTCTGCCAGAGTTGCTTACTTTTGTTCAACAAGAACGGAACCAATGTAGAAACACAGGGCACTTGTGAAAAAGTATCCAAATTGAGAAATGCCAAAGTTGATACTTATAATTCCTAGTCGGATCCAGTGTGTCATTTTGGTGCCAGATTTTTTCCGATATAACTCCATCACCTTATCTTCTGCACAAATTGATGCGACTGTTCTTATATTTCCAATGGCATCACTTGCAACTTGACTTTGCTCAGTATAAATAAGCTGAAAACAAGTGAAAATTTTGTTAAGTTGGTATGCTGTACAATCCTTATTCATGCTGCACTGTGAATACAAATATCATCTGATCAACCTCAGCATCTGCAGCAAATCTTTTGAGGAATTTTGTTTGAATGAAGCTTAGCATTGCCAACGTGGTACACAATGCGATAAGTATCAATGCCAACATGCAGTTCTCCATTAAAGCTATGAACAATCCAGCAAAAACTGTTGATATATTTTGGATAAGGAGGGACAAGCCATCTTTCAGAAGGCTCTGCAACATTGCAGCATTGCAAGAGAGCCTTGCACCAACCGAACCACTGAGATTAAGCAATAAAAGAAGAAAATTTAGAAAAGTTCTCTACAACTTTGAAAACGAGTAAGCAACTAAGCAATTTTCCTTGAATTTGAAGGATCATCAAACCAGCAAATTTCTCGATGAACAATCTTGTCAAATGATAGCAATGAAATTTGCTTTATCAGCTTACCACTTGCAGCTCCAAATGAATAGTTTTGGGATAATACTGCTAAGAATGTGATACTGCCTATAACACATACATTTGTGCCCAATAACTTGAATCTTTTTCTTGCTGACTAGGAGGTTCATAAAAAATTGTTATAGCTGTTGCGCATAGGAACCCATATACTGGAAATGCTATACCATGAACTATTGCAGAAAATGTTCCAATCAGTAAAATTGGGACAACATCTTTGCATTGGTTAGCAAGCCACTTAATTGAAAAGGTTGAATGCTTTTGAAATTTGTGTTCCTTTTTTATTTCATTTTCTCTGCAACTAACCTGAGTACTAATACCAGTATATTTTCTAGAAGAATGATTAGTACTTGATAAACTTGCTCTCGTAATACTCTCAGTGGATGACAACAGACCCTCAAAATTTTCCATTGTCTCAGTGATGTACTTTCTTGTTTCTCCATTCATCCGTTTGGAATTCTCAACTTGATTTTTCCCTTGTGAGCTAACTAGTTTGGAATAGTGCCCATCTTGATTTCTGATTAATTCAGCATGAGTTCCTAAATAGAAGACATGAAAGAGTTAGTAATGTTATCAGATAAATATTTTGACATAGTTACCTTGCTCCACAATTTTTCCCTGATGCATAACTGCAATACTGTCAACGTTTCAACACTTGATAAACTGTGAGTAACGAAGATTTCATCATAGATTGCTTTTTCAGTTTTTGTGTCCAATGCACTTGTTATTTCATCAAGAAGGAAAACTGTAGGTCCTTTAGAATTATCCTAGCAATAGTAATTCTCTGCTTTTGCCCACCAGAGAGTTGAGCTCCGAGCTTGCCTACCACGGTGTCTAGACCCTGATAAAATCTTACATGATATATTTCCATGTCCGGTGATATAAAATCAAATATCCAGTAACTTATATCAACATTAAGAGTGATCTAGTCAAATCTTTTCTGTATTATTTTGTAATATTTACACCAACAGAAGCTTGTTCATCTCATCATGTATTTACAAAAAATTAAGGGAGGAATAAAGAAACAAAAGTGTTCACCAGTGGTAAGTCTTTGATGAAGGCTGCAGCAGAAGAAGACTGAAGGGCTTTGTTGATTTCATCTTCTGTGGCATTTTCCTTTCCATATGCTATGTTCTCTCTTATTGTTGTGGCAAATAATACTGGTTCCTGACTGACTAAACCTATCTTTTCCCTTAGCCACCTGAGCTGTAATCTCTTCACACTGACACCATCTATTTGTACTTCACCAGCATCTGGATCGTAAAACCTTTCTAGTAAACTGATCACTGTTGACTTCCCACATCCGCTTTTCCCAACTAAGGCTACATGCTTACCACTTGAGATGTGTAAAGATAGACCAGAGAATACTTCCACAGCTTGCCTTGCAGGATATCTGAAGTAGACATCTTTTAGATGAATTTCACCCCGATGTTTTCCAGTACAATCCCAGTCGAATCAATAGCATTGATTTTTGGCTTTCTTTTGATTGTCTTGAACAAGTTACTTGCAGCAGCTTTTCCTGATGATAATGCGTTTAAACACGACGAAGATTGTAAAAATGCCCTAGTGCAAGAAGTCAGAAAAACTTAGTTAGGGAGGTAATAATGTCCAATGGAAACAGTAGATACCGTTAGATAAATTGCAAACCTCTCTCTTCCAGGTAGAATGTTTATTTTCACTGATTAGATAGGAGTATTTGTGGCAAAAATATCCTACCTAAAAAATTAATTGGAATTTGCATGTAAAACTAATGAAATTTTCCCATAAGAATAATGCTGAACTTACATTCCACCATACACCAGTGCAACTATAATGCTGATAACCTGTCCACCTGTGTAACCTTTCTCCAGGATTAATTTAGATCCATACCAAATGGTTAGTCCATAACCACCAAAAAGTGTTAGGTTCATGAGTAAAGACTTGTGTCCCACATTGATCCAAGAGATGGAGACAGAGCGGTTAATATGTAAGTAAGGGCCCAAAACCTAACAGCTTAAGCTTTTGGATCAGAGTTGGGTTCCTGATTTACATATTGGCCTCTTTAGTAAACTCTCTCGAGGTGTTTCTTCCTAACAAACTGGTATCAGAGCTTCAGGTTGTGAGACTGGTTACTCATGGGCAAGTGGACTCTTTTCCGAGTTGGACTGTGAAAATTTTCTTCTTGATGATGGACCGAAGTGCCAACAAGTTTGGTTGGTGTTGGACCAGGTGTGCCATAGGTTTGGCAGGGGGTCCGGTTGATGTTAGACTAAGGAGTCAAGGGTTAGCAAGGGACCAAAATGTAATTTGGATGTTGTAGAAGAGTGGGTCCATGTTTGGGAGAAGAGGTGACCTTGGTGATAAAGGTGAGCTTGCATTGAGTATTAAAGTGGGCTCGAAAAAAGGGCTTGTAAATTTGAGTTTAATGTGGGGGTTACTCATGAAGGGGAAGATTTGTTAGGTTCATGAGTAAAGGGTTGTGTCCCACATTGATCCGAGAGATGGAGACAGAGCGGTTAATATGTAAGTAAGGGCCAAAAACCTAACAACTTAAGCTTTTGGATTAGAGTTGGATTCCTGACTTACATATTGGCCTCTTTAGTGGACTCTCTCAAGGTGTTTCTCCCTGACAAAAAGAATAAAAGACACTGTTCCTAATCCTAGCCCTGAGACCAATCCTTGTCTGGCAGAAAACACGTTGACTTTTTCCAGTTTCTTGGCATACTTAGTGATGGCTTCATTTTCTGCTGTTAAGGACGAAACCTTGTGCAAGAATTTGAAAATAATAATGTCAATCTTCTTCTTTAGGATAACAACCTAATTCAAGATCATGTCAACGAACTAAAATGGAAGAATATCAAGTAACATACAGTTTTAGTTGCCCCAATAGTCTCTTCCACCACACCTCTGGCTTCAGAATAAGCAGCTTGAGTGTTAATGGACATTTTGGTAAGAATAATCACTGTAACCCCTCCAACAATGAGAAGAGAAGGAATCATTGAAACCAGGGACAGAGAAAGAAGCCATTCTCAGCAAAGGCAATTAAAAACCCACCAAAGAAAGGTTGACAAGTATTGGATAGACTTTCCTATCTGAAAAAAATGAATTGTCAAGCAAGTCCAGGAATACGTGAAGGGAATAAGAGGAGAAATTCAATATTTATGTAACTTGAAACTGATTAGAACTTCTTAAGGGATAAAATGAATTATTACCTCTGCACTCATTGCATCTTGAATGGTTATGGCATCACTTGAAGCCATCCCAAGGGCTTGTCCCACTGTCATTTCAGTGTCAAAGTATCCAATTTCTTGTCTTAACAATGTTTCAAAGTACAAGCCTTGTAATCTAGAAGCCTGTCTTTCTCCTGTGATGGTCCAGCATGAGACCTCTGCAACAAAACCAGCAAAGAATGCATATTGTTCATCTAGAGGTTAACAGTATGTTCCTGCATTAATCGAAGTGATCAATGCTATGATCTGCCTTAAGTGTGAGAAAAAGATGAAAATGGAAAAGTACTAGTGTGTAATATAGACGTGGTAAATTTGAAGATCATTAACTGTATATTACACAACAAAGAAGATGGCAAAAGAAATTGTAGCCAAACAACACAAGTTACAAAAATCAGAAGTTGAAGTAAAACAAACATTGGAAACTGGATTTCGGCATAAAAATGGTTACATGGTATTCTTTGCAAGATTTTCCCTGATTCCCTGCAAGTTAATACAGATTATTTGGCTCCTCTCTAAGTGAAGTAAACCATGTTTAAGCACATTATTAAATCAAATTAATCTGATTTTCATGATTTTATCTGTATGTAATACTTGTACACGAAATGGGACTAAAATTTATGTTATGAATTAAAATTTGAAATCAAATTCCAGTCACGATGCATGTTTTTAATGAATATTTATTCCAATAGTACCGGACAGTACTATTTGTCTTCAATTATTAATAAATTTTATGTCCTTTTTTAAAAAAAAAAATTAATTAGTTAAACACGTATTTAGTTCGATTACAACTTATATCAGACCCTCTTCAGTGAAAGTAATTAGCAAGGTAACCTGTTAAAAAGGGTAGGTTTTGATTAACAAGTATGTCTAACCGATACAACTGATTAGGATTAGCGAGATCAAGCAAACCATCCAAATCCCTAGCTTCTAGTTCTATGTATTGCATTCCCATCATGCAAACTTATTAGTTAATAACAGAACTGAAAATTATAGTGACACCCACGCATTTGTGCAGCAATCCCTGCTCCAGCAGCCAAGTATAGTAACTTGATAGATACCTGCAAATGCCAAAGATGTAAACTTCATTAAATGCATGTATCGTGACTGGGACCTTGGATAAACGCTTGTATCTTGACCTATCCGGTTTACTTGGTGAATGTTAGAAAAATAATATGTATGCTTGGTTACATACGTTTCGCTGTTGTTAGTTTGGCTGTGAGTTTGATGTGATGTAGTCCTAATCATGAGCAGAGCTACGTGTATCCAAGTGGGTGCAAATGCCCGCACGTTACTTTGACACATTTTTTTTATCTATATTGACCCTCAAACATCCACGTACTGTGCACAGAAAATAGACTTGAACCTAACTAAAAACTAAAGATTACTTGTGTACACAATTTTCGTGTATAATTTTTGGTCAACTTACACGAGTTTTTGGGTCGTGATAGAGACATAATAATTCAACTTGTGACTGGGCTACTATCTTTCTCGACGCATTTCTTTAGACAAAGACTTTGTTTCTTTTCTTATTCGGATGTTTTTTTGTTAGCAAATATCATTTTTTTAAGTTATGAATCTTTCAAATCATTCCAGCAGGAGATTCGGTCATGTAGCAATAAGAGAACAAAAATAAATAGAAAACTTTGAAGAAGGCAATGAATTAATCTCCCCTTAAGATGTACTTGTGGATAATCTTACACATGGTTTCGGGAAGGGCGAGGAGGATGGGATCAAGAGCATTATAAGTTATAGTTTGTGTAGTTCAAATTGGTTCGGGCAATTCTCAGAGTTTTGGTTTAACGGTGAACTTAGTTGTATGAGTTAACAAATTCAATTTTATATCTAAGTTGTATGAATGTATACCAAAAATTATAAGAATTACATCAGCCACATTGAATTAGATAGAATCCAACTTGTGAGGCCCTGATTCAAAATAATGTTAGATTAGAGAGATAATGAACGAATATTTTCACTTACATGATTGATACAAAAACTTCAAGCAATACAGATAGAGATGTGGTCCTTAATAAAAACAAAAACGGAACGGTGCTTTGGCATATCTAAAATACGTGAAGGACTAATCTTACATATTAGTACTTATTTCATTGTTCCAATTCTGTGAATTTTATGTTGACATTATAAGTAAGTTGCAGATATTTGAACTCAATTTTTTTCCTCCTGTTTTATAGAATAAATGTTTACCTTAGTTTATATCAGAAATCACACGTCGAAGTGGTTATCATTATTCGTTTTATATTTGCTTGCATGTTCATGTGTACATATATATTCAAAGTTTACTTCTAACTTATTAGTTATTCGTGTGTGTGTGTGTGTGTTACGCAATTATAGTTTGACGAGGAATAATTTGGTCGGTTACCCTAAAATTTTGGATATATCCAGACCATCTAATCGTTTGTCATCGTTTATCAGTTTGTTGACCTATTTGAGCAGCCATAGTTGTAGAGTATGTTTGCCGATTTACAATGATCACTCATTGCACAATAATTTGGAGAATCAAAATTGACTGCTACAGACATCATCTCAATTACGCATGGGCTATAAATCGAACATTTTGAATATTGAGTAG